ATTTATTTGACGCAAGGCGGGCCAAGTGAGAAGCCTCGAAACTGTAAAATGTTTTACTTTAACCGTCGAGCACCGAGATTTTTTTGAATATAAAAGGACGTAATACTCAAGCAAAACATGCACATCCACCATACAAAAGGTATTTGTGTAGCGTCCCGGGACTCCCTGAAGACGAAAGAAGACACAATGCTCGGGCAGAACATATATTCAGCGCAGAGAAGGTGTCTGGGCTAATGGCATGGCCTAAAAAGCCAATTCAAAGTACAAAAGTGGCGTTTCACCAATGCTAAAAGATAAACCACCAATATATTACACTAACAGCACATATTTTGTCAAGTATTATGTCTTCTCGAGTCCTCAATGAATTCTTAGATGTTGTTACGCATTTTTGTTGCATCGCTTTGCAAACCATAGTTAGTTTATAAAAAATTACTTGACTGGCAATTTGCCGTTTTATCTAAAACTACGAACACTATTTATCCGACATTCTTTGTTTTAACGCACCACAGTCGCAATACTACTTTCACGCGCTAATTTATGTATAAACTCGCGGTTGGTTAGTGGTCGTCTTTTCCCCAATGTTCATTTGTCAACGTGAACAGTTACATCATTGAGCTTTTGGTGTCTCTGCCTGTGTTTCCCATAATTTGTCTGGACATCCAACTTAGTTGTCTAATGTAGCTATATTTGCTACAGACCGTTCACATTTATCCTGGCTTTTCATGACATGTTGGTATTGCTTGTCTAATTTTGTTTAATTAATCCATCTTCATCGCTCAATCAATATCATTCTTCAACTTTTAGCTTTTGTTAGCGTTTTGTGATTGAGCGTTGCTTTTTGCAATTCCTTTCTAGAAACTGTTATTCCCCGTCAAATTTGGGATAAATTTTTATGTTTCATATTTTAATTCTACCAATGGGGTTTCCTGTTTTTTATGATCGATTCATTTTTTTTCTAGTTTACCCGCTGGTGTGACGAATGGATTGAGTCTTTGCTAAGAGATGTAGCTTCAGCGTTATGTCGGGTCAGAAAGAAGATATCGAGTTTGGCCTTACTAAGCATTCCGGAAAGGTAAGTTCCGCATTCCTCACATTTAACCTGCTTTTAGCATCATGTTCCAGTATCATGTTGTTCTTCTTTACAACTCTGGTGGTACTATAAGTTTACCGCTCTAGAAAAACTCCTTCACACTCATCACTGGAAGGTCTTTAGCGTATTATTACCTCTTGTCCTGCTATGCCTGGGACTCAAGTTTGCGAAGCCAGAAGCAGATTTTTATCGTCTCTGGGTCGTAGGTGCGTAACCCCTTTTGTATTGTTTCTGGCTTTTGTACTTCCCTTTTCTTCCGCATTCTGGAACATATGCTAATGCACTTGTGTATACATATTTCATTATCATAGTATGAGGGAATTGCGTTTTTCCTCACATAAATTCAATGCCTGTTTAAGAAAAATGTTGGGGTGGCTCGTAACGCATTTCAGATGTTGCATGACATGCCTAAATCCCGTCGAAAGTTTGAATGGTTTCGTGGTTGCTAATCTGCACAGAATCTATATCAACAATGTTGCCTTTTTGAATAGGGAGCGCAGGTGCTTTGTCCACGCGCTACACTAGTTCAGTCAATTTGACTTTTTGGGGTGCTATGTTCTATCTTTATTTTATTTATAGGACCAATGATGCAGTTTTTCTTCTGGGGTCAATATTAGGTTTACTTTAGTAATATGTATTTGTTGCCACCTCATCTTTAATACAGAAAGTGGTCGACTATCGGCAGAGTTGAATTACCTAGCCAAGGCACTTCGCTCAGCCGATATGCACCACCAAATACCGCCCTACGCGGGGAGTATTTACCACCAGCCGCCCTCTTGGGGTGATCTGTACCTCCGATCACCCGATTTGATCCCCGCCGCGCTGCACGCCTCGCCGCTTGGAGGTCTGCCAGGCAGCGAGTTCATGGGGTCTATTGAGTCCATCCTACAGACCTCTACATCCGCTTCTCCCACGGGCAACCTCCTTACGCTGGAGGCACTGCGCGATCACATGGACCTTTTGGTGAAGATTCACAAGCTCGAGGTCAAGGTGGGCGCTTCGAAGTGGAGGCTGGAGGACCTCTGTCAGCGCGCTGAGCTCCCTAGCGTCGCAGGACTGCACAGCATTGAGTCATTTCTCGCTCAGCTCATCCCCTGTATTGTCATCACCCCCGCCGACTGCTTCTGGGAGGGCTCTAAGGTCATTGCACCAGACACGGTTGTTCAGATACCGTGGTGGGTACTCCCATTTAATGTTACCCAAGATTAGTCGTACTTTTGTGTTTATTGGTGTTTATAGTTCACTTTTTTCTTCTACCTTCATATTACTGGTCGCGTTTTTGCTGTTTTTGAGTCCTGGAACAATGTGAATTTACGTCTTGCCACTTGATAGGAAACGAGCTATTTATATCATTTCCCTCTTGTTGAGGTTGATAAATCAACCTTACTAACATTCTGCATCCTTCATTTAACATTGTGCATGTTTCTTGCACTCTGTCGATGAACTGTGGGGTCAGCATATCCTCCTTTACTGGTTTACTATTTACCTCAACTGAATTTTCATATTCAGTCACAACTTTGCGCTCCCTAAAACCAGAAGCAAGTTCTCCACTTATTAAATGCTAAAAATGGGCCACTCACTGTTTTTGCTTTATTAAAATATCGCACGGTAGCTACTTTTTTATTTGATCCAGGTCACCCTAGCTCTAGCATTTCACTTATGATACATATTTGCTTGCTTGTACGAGACAGTTTTCGGGCATTAAATTTGCCCTTAGATGGTCTGGCTGATAAGCCAACGCGTACACCACCTGGGGCCACGAGTGGTGCTCTTTTTATGGTTTGACATTAAAACCGCCAATTAGGTTACCAGGACCGAAATTTTATTGCTCCACCTCTATTCTAATTAACTTGGGTCAGGCGGGAGACGCCTTTTCTCCACACACTTCGCTGGTACTTTTAGAAATAGGGTGATATCACTCACCTAAAATAATGAACTCCCAATTGCATTTTTTGAGCTTGTTAAATATCCTTACCCGGTCAGTGTTTTTAAACCATTTATTCAGTCTGTTGGACCTGCATACTATTGCTATACGCTTATTGCGTGTTTGTGTGCGCGTTTCCAGTGGCAACTAGAACGCGGCTGTTGTGGCATCTCAAAAAACTTGCAAGGCTTGTGTGCGTAATCACAGCCCCGTGTGTGCCCGCATGCACGGTCGCTCTGACCCACCGCCCTGTGGGTCATGGCCCATCGGTCGAGTTTGGGTCGAGGTGAGGAGGAGAGGCCATTTGTCCAATCCACGGGTCGGGGAATATCAAGCGTTAACACACACTGTAGGTGGTATTTGTGCCTGTGCATGTGCGGCCGTAGCAGGCGCAACTTGGGCTGTGTGCCTGCTTACGGCCGCAGCCGGAATAACTCGCACACACACAGACAATGACGGATCATGTTGTGCGCGTGCGTGTGTATTTCTGTATGTGTGCACTAGTGCGTTCGCACACACGTCCGCACGATACCTACCACGCGAACCCTGCCACTGCTGCAGCACACTGCCACCACCCTATTGTGTGCCACATTTACAGGAGCAGCAGTGGCAGCAGCGGTAGTGGCTGATACAGACGCAGCATATCCACCCAGCCTGTGCGCGCACAGATGTGTGCAGGCGAGCGTGCCTGCACGCATCCATGCAAAACATATACGGGGCGTATTTTCTGCCACCACGGGGCCTATCGATTCTGGCTCTCTGCCCAGCCTGTCCGCCATTTCTGTCCGGCACACCGCCGGCGGAGTTACCTTCAACCCATCTGAGAGGATCTCCAATTAGTTCTCTGCGAGTGATTGTCGAAGCTTCAACAGGCTAGCGCCCATTTCACTCCCCAGTTTTCTTTTTTCATTATAGCAAGCAGCTTTTTGCTGTTTTCTCATGGTGGGAATGCGTCTTGTTGCATAGCTTTGGTTTTCCCAACTCTACTGTGTAGAACAACAAGTTTTCTTTATTCTGGGGATGACAATTCCATCCCATCTTTGATCCATTTCCAATAAGCTCCTATTGAAATGCACTGCGTATTTGATGATGACGTTAGAGGCGATGTTGGTTCTCGGTTCTTTGTCTTCCGATTTCCCACTCAATGAACACTCACTTTGTCGCATCTCTACTGGTATTCGGATTCATTCACTTCAAGGGATATTTCTAAGTAGTGTTCAGCCTTACCATCGTACAAATTTAAAGTGGAGCTTTTGATCGTCTCAATTTGCACTTTGATTGTCTTTGTTGTCTTTCTCGCCTGTAAATACCTCGTTCCACTTTCTAAACAAACGCAGTCTCCAACTGCCTTTCAAATTCCTGGAATAATGCTTGGATTTGGATTTCAATCAAGTGAACACTATGTGAATGCACAATGGCTTGCAACTTTTGGTTTTTTTTCTCAACTAGCACTGGAGTTGGAGAATTTAGCTACCGTTGCAAATGTCTATTGTGCTACGTGATGCACGCGTTTCATCCACCATGGATTTAATCGTGTGACTGGAGCGAATAGTTGGGTGTTACAAAACATGGCTAGTGAATTTTTAGATTCCGATCAGCTTTCTCATACTTTCTGAAAAACATGTGGGCAATCAGTGTCATCGCGCTTTGCTCCACTTTGTCGTGGTTACACTGGTGTGCTTAGTAAATCACCATATATCGCCTCACCCAGATAAGTACACCATCTCCGGTAATGAGGTTTCCCACACAACTCCTGGTAACCGTTTTGCGTTGTCTGCGCACGATATTCGAGATTGTAGAAGTACTCCTATTTCAAACTCGTATTTTTTGAATTGCATTATTTGGACGGATTCGTGTTTTTCACCGTCTTTCCTACACTTATCTTTTGGTTTCACTGGCGATGGACTCTTGTTGATGTTTAATCTTTTGCAAATTTAAGTATTTATGAAGCATAAAGTGTACGTTTTCTAGCATCTCCTCGACCACCTCAGTTTTTTTATTGTGGAGCAAATTTCAGACATAAAGGGTTCCCTGTTCAGATGAAATCCTTTCAATTGCTATGTTGCATGAAGTGAGCGAGGTAGGGGGAGGGGCAGGAGAGAGAATGAACTGTTATGGTCAAGTAAGCGACACTCGCAGCGTGCCGATGTCTGTGTATTTTCTTTCCAAGCGAGCCATCATCGGATTTTGCTGAGAAATGGAACCATGTGTATGCACGCGGTGTGGAAAACATGATTGTACAAATTGGTTGGGTCCACCGAGTGTTAATGTCGTGACATTTCAACTCCCGACTACTTTTACTACTGTTGCTGCTACGACTACTACCCCCAACCTCACTCCTCTTCCTCCTCCTCTCAACTTGCTTGTGTTTGTGTGATGCATGTTCCGCGATAGCTGCAGACAGGGGCATTCACAAACCCGACCGCGCACAATGATTTGCTCTTTTTACGCAACCTCTGTAAGCATCCTGAAACCATCTAACATTTCCAATGGCAGTCCCCACTAAACTGTTCGACCGTTCTCTTTCATGTTTCATGGTTGTGCTGTTTACGTGTTTCAATACATGAAGCACACCCGACCCTGTTCTAAAATTGTCCAATGTTGTGTATGTGTTCTCAAGGCCCAACAAGCAGTACACGCTGCAGTGGTCGAGTCTCAACCCGCACCACATGCTTTCGAGCCTTCGAAGTGAGTACGGCAACCACTCCTCGGAGATGAACTACCTCGATGAGCTGACGGACATGCTCAATCGAACAGGTTTGAGCCATGGCTATCTCACTCGGCCCTGTCTAGACCCCCATGACCCTGGCTGTCCCAGTCTCTCTCCCAACTACAAAGCGCAGGTAAGCCCTCTTTCAATGAAACGTCACTATTTTTTATATTCTGCGTCCTAGTTCAAGCCAGCATAGCAGCTAGACGTAAAGTGTGATCAGATTAATGGTAGATATCCACACTTTCGCATCCAAAATTCACTCCTCTTTCCTTTTAGTCGCCAGACATTGCTTGTGTGGTTACCAACGGCTGTCCCAGTTTCGCCGCAAACATCCTTCACTGGCCCAGAGACCTTCTTCTCGGTGGCCAGCGGTGCTTCGTACGAAATCACTCCACAGCGTCCTGCGGAAATCCTGGCCATCGCTTGGTGCATGCTTCGGCTCTGCAATCTCTGCTTCTGCTTCGCTCACCACAGGACCTCTACCGCACCGTCCGCTTTAACGATCCCTATAAGCACGAGTCGTGGACCCTGCTAGACGCGCAAAACACGCTGGACCAGTGGCGCAGTGGACTCAAGCATCTCCTCATTGTGCATAATAAAGCCATATCGGGGAGCAGGAGCTGGCAATACTACGGCTTCACCGACAACTCCCTTCGTGACCTTCTCACGCAGAGCACAGTTAGTGTGTGGTTTGCTCAACTCGCTGGAGCCGTTGTACTCGTAGTGAGTCCTCTCCCGCATTCCTTTATCGATTTTACATATGTAACTGTCATTCCCATGCTCATTATTGATTAGCTGCCCTTGCTAGACAGTATTTTGTACTTTACATACGCAGCTATGGTCATGTCAGCAAAGCTGTCTATCTGATCGCAACTGTTTCCGCGGCACTCAATCCCTGGCCGACTTGCGGTACCTTGAGCTTATCGAAGGTTACCCTCCATGATGGTGTATTTGCATTGCAATTGCAACGGCTAAAAAGACGACGGTAATTTTTCATCGACCCCATGACCATAATAAGTCTTTGGGTCGAATATAACCTCTCCGTTTGTCCCGCTCCTGAAAATGCGCCTTTTTTGTGTCCGCGTCAATTAGTGAAGAAAATTCGCGTTCACATACTATCTGAAAATATTTCGTGCGTGCGCGCGTGCGCATGTGCACACTGAGTTGACTATAAGGGGCGTTTTCGTTTAGGAAACGGGTCGCCGTGCTCGATCCTCCTCAGTGCGGTTTTGACGGGGCGGCGTCACCGCGGGACGCTACTTGTAATGCTTGCGGCGGCTGGAATAGGGTCATGAATTGTTATTTTGAACATTGCGACATCTAGCAGTGAGCATAAGGTCCAGGCGCTGCGCTGTGCCATCTCGCGATTTTGTTCTTGTAACCAGTGATACGTAGATAGGTGTACGAGCTCGCGAGAGAGCATGTAACTGCTAACACTTTTTTCACGTTCATATGTACCTGTATCATTTCGTGTGGGAGGCGGGATGCAGGTTGCACGTAGAGAGCATCAGCAGCACAATCCAGTTTACGGAGTAGATGATTCGAGCCCACACAACCACATGCACACGCATTGTTTTCTCACGTCGAGTTGTGCGCCTGTGTGTATCCGTGCTACCTACCGCGGATAAACCCACCGCAAGCATGCGTGCACGGCGTACCACAGGGCACCAGCCCGTTATTATGACGTCAAGGCTTGTAGTGTTAGCCTTAACCCAACACCCTTATGCCATTTTCAAGGCTCTTTGTGTGTGTCCGTTCATTACATTGTTTAGTTTCTTAAAGTTGGGCTTATCCCCACGGAGGTCGTTCATTACCGCCACAATGAGTGACTTGAACTGCCCTCTAAGTCGTTTTATGGCATTATGTATCGTTGACTAAATTCATTTATCGATAGTTCCAGTTTATTGTGGACGAGTTATTACCGAGTCAGGTCCCACAATCTGCCTTTCACTCCAGGCTACAGTTCAATAGATCGTGCCTCCTAATAGAAGTGGAGCCCAATTCCGTGGGCTCACTCTTGGTATAGCCAGGGCCTAAAGTGACATTCGTCGTAAAGGTTCAACGCTCTGCCTCGAGCACGTACGTACGTCTCTGGTGGGTTGGAGGTTGATCGGTGGTGACCTGTCTTTTAGCATAATATAAAACCACAAAGTGTATTGTGTGACCGTCTTTCCTATCGGAATAGTTTAGCAGCCTGTTTCTTCTATACTGTCAGTTTTGTAAGCGCAGTTGCGCATTTGTCTTTCATTGGATTTGGTTTCAGTTCCAAATCAATTGAAGGTTTGGGCAAACAATAGTTTGTGCGTGCATTCGCCTCGTTCGGGACATTCCGATGCATGTTCTGCGTCTGGCACACCGAGACTGGATCCATACCCACTTATGTGCTTGCTTGCTGGTATACTTTTTGGAGCCGCAGGGCCTTACAGACCTGTCCGCGTTTCGAGATAGGCTTCGACCAAGGCGGGCGATTGGCACATTTCGGCAGTGTGTCACTTTTTACAGCTGACTCACTTCATTTCATCATAGGTTCGTTGTCAGCGGCTGGTTAATACGTAGACATTGGTTTGATTGACTACATTTATCCAGGAAAAGTAGAAGCCGGCGCGCGTAGCATCTGAGTAATTATTTTAGCTTCTCTACGGCATGGTGTGCCTGCTGTGCTGGCGCGAACCTTCGCGGTCCCAATGCTGGCTGGCCTTGGCTGGTTTAGGTCTTATTGTCCTCGCTCTTGTGGCTGGCCTCGGCATCTGCTCTCTCATCGGCCTCCCCTTCAATGTTTTATCCATCCAGGTAGGCCTTCTCTTATTCAAAACATTTGCTTGTTCTCACCAAAATGCCTTCAGAGTTCATTTTTCATGATTGTAGCCACCAGTTGCAATTTATGCACTTAGGTTGTTCTGGTACTGAAGTGGGAATTGAGGATCAACTGACTCACTTACCCCTTCCATTAAGTCCTTTGTTTCATATGTTATCCGCATTTCTTTTGTAGGTCCTGCCCTTCTTAATTCTCGGTTTCGGCATGGAGGGATTGTTCGTGTTTACCACCTGCAACACTTGCGTGCTATCGCGCTCGGCAGAGGTCAACCAAAAAGTACGCCCGTTGTCTTTGCTTGGATTTTGCGGTCAGTTGTAGCATTTTTCCACATCCTCTTATCCTTATGCACATAAATTACAAGCACACTTGGTAATTATGCCCTTCTCAAGACGCCTAAGTGCGTGTCGGGGCATGGAATTTTAGGCGTCACTGGGCGGTGGTCGCTTGGCGAGATTTCGCTGCCGTTGGTTCTTCAGGTTTTTACAGCCTATCAGTTTTCTCTCCCACGTCTGTGTTCTGAAGGCCAAGGTAGAAAAAATGTGAGATAAGGGATGTAACATTTATTTCGCGAGGAAAGGGCTCACTGCAAGGTTGATATGAATTCAGAAAAATCGTTTGCAAAAACTGGTTCACCGCTCCAGGTGATCCTTATTAGATCCCTATCTACATGCGAATGGCCGTAGGATGCTTGTACTTGCATTGGCTGCGGCGGAACGTGACCTCTGGCACATCTGATTGATCTGTTTGAAAGCTGGAAAGTGTTTTTCAAAATGTATGAGGTAGCGATGGGCTGCGGCGACATTTCGGGCCTTTTGATGGCAGTGCAGCGTGGTGGTGGAGCGCATCAACATTTTTGTCGCTCTCCCGTGACGGGCGACGCCTACATTAATGCATTCGCGCACTTGCGCATACAATTGTCTTGGCTGGTATTCAGAGCCCTGCCTACTTGCTCGCTCACTCCGTCTCTCTCTCGTGTCGCATTTGCACTTGCGAAGGGGGGCAAAAGCAGGACAATTTTTTTAACTTCTTTTTAGATTAAGCCAAAATTTTGTTCTCTTTTCTACAACCTTGCAATTGAGCGTCGGGTCCTGTTTACTATACCGCAGTTTAACCGTCCGATGTTTGAGATCCCAGACGATGGTGCACGTGTATTTGTCTGGGGATCTATGCGCTCGTCTTAATCAGCCTGCACCCACCAGTCATCAACAAGCCTCTTCAGCTAGATCATGCGTCAGTTTTCCCCGTAGATTTGCAACTGTAGATGGGATTTATGCATTGGTACTGTTGAGAGGGGTGTGAGCTCACGCTATTACCAAACCAAAGAAGGCCTTATTGTTTCATTCGTTACTGGGCGTGTGTACCCATTTTTCACGTCTTGGTGCGCACTTACTCAAGTAACGGTGGTATCCTTGTCACGGTTGGGTGGTGCTATCTCCGATGTCGTCTTGATCTTTGTATGTGTACACGAAAGCACTTCGACAATTATGTGAATGTGCGCGGGTATCTTTAAGTTCCATCTGCGCGATGTGCACGCACTCCATGTGGGCACATTGGGAGCAGAACGCGCAAATCTCTGTGTATGCGCGGTGTATCGCGCTACTGCACACGCGCATCCTCCTGCCTCCCTCTCTGCTTTTCTTTCCCCCTCCTACCCCAGCTACTCCACCTCCCTCCCCTCTTTCTCTTGTTTCGCTACCAGGCTGTACTGTGGACCACCCACGTGCTTGCCGAGCACGGAACTGCCTTCGTCTTTTCCGCCCTCGTGATGGCTGCCGCATTCTTCGCTGCCATCTACCTTCCCGTGCCTGTGATGCGACAGTTCTGCCTCCAGGTAGTCCTCTTTCTCCTCTATGATCGTATCTTTTCTTATCGAAACTATTCTTATGATCTCTGCATGCATTCATTTTACCTCAATCACAATAGTTCTCTCCGTGTAGTATTTTTTCGTGTTCTTGAAGGTAATATCTACTTTATTGCTTGATGAACTTGTCAATAATTGATGTTTTACAAAAGTAGTGGGGAATGTGAGAACGCTTACCAAAATAACTTAGTGGCTGCTGTAAATGTCCGTACATGGGCAGTGAGTTTAGTTCATACTTTTATTTGTATTGGACATGAATCGGAACATTTATTTCACCTCTGATAACGCAAAAAATTATCAACATAGTAGTTGTTATTCCTATCATAGTTCTTATTCTATGCCCACACTTCTAACGAGACTGGTTATCTCAACTTGGCATCAGAAGGCTAATCAGCCGCGACGACTTGATCACAAGTGGTCGGTGTGCGCCTCACGTGAGTGCGCGCCTAGGCGCTTAAGTGGATGAAGTGGCGGTGGTGGGCGACGGAGACTGAATATATCTCCACCTCGCATTGACACGATACTTATTGTCACAACACACCCATCTGTGTGTTGCGCAACCTGTGGAAGAAACGTAGCGGTGCGTGTACGCGTCTCCGGTGTAGGTGGTCGTTCGTTTGTTCGAAAGGCTGGGGTGGGTGGCCAACGCAAAGACGATGGGGCGTACTGCTGGGGAAAAAAAGCGATGACGAAAACGCGCAGCGGTTGTGCGAGTTAATGGATCACCTCGTCGTAGCGCATGGGACTGTTGACAGGACTGCTCGCTCGTTAGTTTGTCCATCCCTTCGCGGTAGGTAGGTGGGTAGGATAATAGGGGGGAGATTCAGTGAATGGGTGGGTGGGAGGCACAAGCGGACATGCGTGTAGGAGCGCGGACAGGCAGGCGAAAAGGCAAACTGTAGTAACGGTACCAGCGAAGGTTGAGGGAGGCGATGTTGGTTGTGTGCTGGCTCTTTTTGATGCGAAGATATTGGTTGCCCCTGTTACCGACAATGCTTTTGCAGCACCAGCAAAGGCACCACCCATGTTCAGCTGGTGTATCACTAGTACTGCTACCATTGTCACTACGTCTTGGGCACTTAGGCACCTTGAAATTACTGGCATTGCTGCGACCTATATGCATAAAAGCTTGTACTTTAGCGCCCTCCATCGCTGCCACTTTTCACGCCTCCTCCCACTACACACAGGCATGAGTCCTTGAAATACATCACTCACTGAGATGTCTTGCGTGCAAATACGCCCTCTTGGAATTGTGACCCCTACCTCCCACGAGTGTGACAAAGTGTCAGGTTTTCTACGCAGAGTCTGATGTACTTTCTTGCAGATTGAATGATTGAATGTGTATTGGGATCCTCAAACTGTTAAATCGTTGTCAAAATTGCTTTACTGCACTCCCATGCAAAACGGCGCGCCTGCTCTTGTGCATTCCAAGTACGTTGCACAAATGGCCTTGCCCCACTGCCTCATTAGCATTAATGAAACACAAAATATCAGTCCTATCGTTGTATCTTATTTAAGTCTTGGTGGCTCGATTTCCGCCTTAGCATTGAATAAATTCTTCTTTGGTCTCGGTGAAGTAGAAAAGGCACAGATATGTTTCGACCGGTCATATTGACTAGTGAATTCATCTGTCGACAATTGTCATCTCATCTTGCAGCACTTGCTTGTAGCAGAGGAAATGACGCTCGACTTGACGAGGCCCTTTGGTTTTAGTTTAAGTGGGGGGGGGGGGGGGGAAGAAGGTCTTAGTCTACCTCTCAACTGCATTCCCCCCTGTTCACCAACCATCTTATTTGTAACAGCATTATTTGCGGCGAATGCAGTAGCATCAACTCATCGAGGTAAACCGAAGACACTAGAGACACATAATTTCTTTTTCGTCCTAGTGGAGAAGACCAGAAAGTAGGCAAACAGGCAGCATACACCCAAACGAGCACCGGAAACAGCCGAAATGTGTATGCGTGTACGCTTTTGCGCACATCGTGATATCACAATAGAGGTAAACTACTCTGCACCATAAATACCCTCACCCAAAGGCGAGTGATGTTGCTCGATTTTGCTCCATTTGATGAGATTGAAACCTTCTAGCCCTCTCGCCAATTTTACTGAAATGTTAGACACAAAACTCCTAATGCATGCATTGCTATTTAATCGGTAGGCGGGTATCCTGGTGTTGGTTCAGGCCGTCACAATCATGGCCTTGTTCCCAGTGCTCCTAAAGTTGGACTCACGGCGACGCGTGTGCCATCGTATGGATGTGCTGTGCTGTCTCCGGCAGCCCGTCTCTATGGCACACCATGATACTGAAGCCGCTTCTGCCACCATTACCGCCTCTGCATCACCCTCCTACCTTGTCACACCTTCTGACCCCAGTGAGGGTATCGTGCGTGTCGTGGAGACCACCTCCACGAAGGTCCGTCTCAGTGGTAATGCTGTGGCCACCGTTAAGGTCTCCGTCTCCACGCGGAAGCCACCCATTTTGGTCAAAGACATCCATTCTTGTGGCCATGGAAGTGTAAGTCATCCCACGTTCGTTGCCGAAGCATTCTATGCCCCACGGTACCACTTTACATCCCTAGTCCTAATAGTACCGTAGTCCTATGGATGTGAAGTACTTCCCAAGCAGAGAAAGTACGGAAAGCTACCACTACCCGTAAGAAATAGGGCAGAAAATCTCCACACGAACCTCCAACATGCAGTAAGCTTCGTTATTACTTTCTCGCATGGAGGGTACAGAACGCAAAAGATGTATTATTGTGTGAAAATCTCAAACGCGCTGTACATATTCGTTGTGTGTGGTAGCGCCAGAACGCGTACATAAAGGAGGATTATTTCTCTTTCTCGCTTACTCGCTTGTTCACCAGCTAGCTCGTTCGCTCTCACGCACACACACCCAAGTCCCTCCTTCTGGGCGCCTGTCGACGTGTGTGCCTGCGCGCATCTTAGTCACCGAATAATCGTGTGTTTTGCATATTCGTGCATGCGACAGCACTGTGTGTGGTCGCCGCTAATCGACACCCCTTTCCCCCACACACCACCGACGTATTGCCTGCCTCTTACAGCTCGGAGTTGTCTTCCTGGAGTGTCTCTGTAGTTCCTGTCAGCACCGGCAGTCTTGCACCGGCGGTCCGCTTTTCATCCGCCTTGCAAACCGACTGGCGGCTGCGCTCTCGCAATTCCTCTCTCTCCGCATCGTTATCTGTCTCCTCGGTCTCAGCCTCGTCGCCTCAGCCGCCGTGTTGGCTCCCTTGCGTCTCCGACTGGGTCTCAACCTCCTCAGTCTCATCCCCACCGACGCTATCGAACATGGATTCGTGGAGAAGTCGAGTGAGACCTTCGGTCTCATTCACTTCCAACTCATTACTCGAGGCAGCGACGCCATTTTGGTGGCCGAACCATCACCACCTGCGCCTGCTGAGGGTTTTATTCGCAGGAAGCCAGAAGTTCCACAGGTCAGCGCTCTTTCTGGTCCTGGAGTCGATTTTGCCCGGAGTCAGACGCATCTGAGGACACTGTTTTCTGAGGTGGCTAGCTTACCGGGAGTTTCCTTCACTGGCAAACGTATCTGGCTGGATTCCATGCACGACTGGCTGCTGGGGCTTCAAAGGGCTTTTGATGCTGATGTACAAAATGGCTATATCTCTCCCGAAGGCAACTGGACCGAAAAAGCCAGTGAAGAAGGCGTTCTTGGCCTCTTGCTGATTGTGCAAACCGATAACGGTATCGACTTGGGCAGGGTATGTCTGCTACGATTCAGTAAAGGTTGGGCCTTTTGCGGCTTTTTTCCCTACTTTGATGCTGACCACCTCTTCCTTGCAGATTCGAACGGGTCGTCTGGTGCACAATCGTGTGATCGAACCATCTGCATTTCGCGTCTATCTGCATGCATGGCGTGTGCTAGATGTGTTTAACTACACCTCTCCTCCCTGTACCATCATTCCTGATCCAGGCCTTCACTTGGGTCGCATTACACTACCGCAGCGGGTGGGGGGACCTTCAGACCTCTACAGCATCTCACCTGCCGATCCAATCCAACTTACTCAAACAGCATTTTTTGCCAGAGGCTACGGGGATATCGCCGACCAAATCAGATTCGTCAAGGTGGGAGCAACGACTGATTTTCCTTAGGCGATCTTACTCGACTGGATTCAGCTGTACTTTTTTTCTTCAGAGAGTTCGTGCTCTCACCGAGCAGTCGATTTCTCAGGGCGTACCAGTCTTTCCCACAGGTCTGCCGTTCACCCTGGCAGAGCAGTATCTCACCTTTTGGCAGCACTTCGTCGTGACCAGTGGCATCCTTGTGGGTGCAGTGTTAGTGGCGGGTCTGATATTCCTCCCGCGTCCCGTGGCTGCTCTACTCGCCGTGTGCGTGGGCGGCGGTGGCGCTGTCTCCGCTTGTCTCCTCGGTTTCCTTGTCCTTGGCCTCGATCTAAATGCCATATCGGGTGGATTAGTGCTCATTGCTTTCGGATTGGGTACAAAACTCTCCTCAGGGGTACTCTGCGGCTGGTACGGCCCCCAGCACAACATTCACCATCGGAGTCGCATAAATGCTTCCTCCTTCGAGGTTTGCAACGATAGTGGGAGCAAGGAGGCTGCAGAGAGGGAGGTAGAGGTGGGAGGAGTGACTGCCACTCCTCCTGCTCCTTTGAGGGTGAAGAAACTTTTTGCAATTCTTCGAAACCAAATCAGTCAAATCGTCCACGCCAATGTAAGCCTCGTGCTAGCTGTGGCATTGTTAGCCGCCGTGCGAGTCGAGTTCATTGCTGAGTAAGTAAATCTTCCTGAAAACTACAATGAATAGTTCTTCTTTTCACTAACAGTAGTGCTCGTCTTTTCAGTCATTTCTTCCGCCTCGTGGGCATAATATCTCTGGCTTGTCTCTTCGATTGCTTGGTCCTTCTTCCAACAGTGTGTTTCGTTCTTGAGCCTATCTTTCCCTCTCCATTGTATACTATGTCGTCTCCGCCCCCTGTTCATATTCGCCACGATGTGGAAACTACCATCAGCGATCTTTTGCCACATTCCCCTACACCCTCACCTTTGCCGACGTCTCCCCCTTCGACCCTGCCATCGCGGGTCGAATCGACCGATTTCAGTCCCTTCATAAACGCTCAGGCGACCGAGGAAGATGAGGAAGAGGACGAAGAAGACCTGGCGATGCGCCAGCTCTGTGACTCCCTTAAGCGCAGCACCATATTAGAATTCGCTCATCGTGATCGTGCTGCTCCATCTCCTCCCCCCTCCGCAGTTATTGATTTGTTTACAAATGCACTCAGAGACGCCTCGCGGCACGCTAGTCTGAGCACCATCTCAGAGGAACCCTCTAATTCCAGCTCCACTATTAGCCTTCATCCTCCGCCCCCCCTCATAACTCCATCGCACCCTCCGCCTCCCCCTCCTCCCTCCTCCCATCACCACCACCTTCGTCATCATCCAGCGGCAGTGCGGATGAAGATGTTCCTTCCGCTTTTGAACGCAGCAATGGTGGCAGCGCAACGTCATCACCAGCACCAGCAACAACAGCAGGCCCGTCGGGGTGGTGGCACTGGTGGGCCCGAGCCTCCACCGCCGCCCTACACCGAGCGCTTGCCATCCGCCTCAAGTTGATCATCCCTCACCCGTCCTCACGTGTAAATACTCTCACCTTTACCTGATCCACTTTTCTACACTTGTGTCACCTCGATGTACAGGAAGAAAGAGCTCGAAGCAGTAAGCCATCCTCCTACCTCCATCCTTCTGCCTGTTATCACCCAATGCGTTGCACACGCGTCTTCAATTGTATGCATTTTATGAGGATGTTGACTGAACACGCTACTCAAACACAATCCTAGATACTGCTTCTGCTGCGAGTACTTATATGCATATTATGCATATATATGTCAAATCTATATATATATATGTACGCAAACCAGTGTATATGCATTTCCACATTCTGGACCTTTTTCTTTCCACTTTGTCTTACGCGTCCAAGTCTATTTCTCAAGTTGAACTTTGTGCAACATTCATTACTAGGTTGTTTGATTCGTATGTTCGTGTGATTTAAAGGTTATTGTCGTACAGGGTCTAGTTGTCTCACAATCAGTCGGGTGCATATTCCATCTCTTAACTGTTTCATAGCCCAAAACTATTTATTGAAATATAAACGAGTGGCACTTAGCGGTCAATAACTGCATGGGCGTTAAAGTACTCAAAAATACTTCATTCCCGCGGTAAGTATTTGCTGTTCGTGCTGTCCAAATTTCTTGAATGAGCTCCTGCCACTTGAAACTGAGACGCGCATTTTGAGCATCTCTTGTAAGGTGGAGTGTATACTTCCCAAACATTGAGGTTTCATTTCAACTTTTGTTGTTTACGGTTTAAGCACACTCCATTTGGCCCATAAGGATGTTCCTTGTTCGGCTGAGATGGGCATATCGTCGGGGTTTCCTTTTGGATGGGGATGAACAACGAGCACCAAACCAGTGTTCTGTGAGGAATCGTGAGTTGTCAGTTCGACTGTTTTCATGAGAATCCAAGCCTTCACTTCACACGGCATCACTTACCTCAATTTATGCAGCTTAGTTGATGGGTGCCAAGTGAGATCCATTTGGTTGACGCTATTAGATTGTTGTAATCTAGGCTTAAGAGACGGGTCTCTGGAGCTGCTGAGTCTCCCAGATACACATATATCAAGTCATAATTCAGCCGCTTGGCTTCGTAGAATACTCTTGTCAGCTCAAGTGTAAAGTGGTAACTTTACCGGCCCTTGAATAGTTGATTACAATGTAGCCCTCTAGGGAGTAGTCTTCCAATAGTAAACGAGAGAAAGTACGATTTCTTTAACTAAAATCTGAGTATAAAGCGAAGTGAGACCTCAAAGAGGGCTCGTTCTAAGTAGCGAGGTAACAAAACTGTAGGAATTATCCATGCTATAGTAATCACCATGACCACTTACTCAACTTATTTCAAAAGAAGTATGAAAGCACTTAATGGAAATAACTCCAAATTCTTATAAACACGGAATCAGAATTATTTCCGTCGGGATCTTTGAATTATCCCTGTGTCTGTCTAGGTGAGGTATTTCAACTAGCATTTGAAGTTGCTGCTCGATGAACGACGTATTCATGAGGAAATACGTTTTCCGTCGGGATTACCTCCATTTGCTTCAAATGAAAGTGATTTATCGGTCGACTAAAGGGTGAAGTCATACAAATTTTATTTATGAAGCAGTACTGTTGTAACTAACCGCTTTCACTTTGGGTAGTGCATGTTAGGCCACATCGCCCTTTCCTTAGAACAATGAAGGATAAATTTACGGACCGTTTTATTTGAGTTCACTTACCTTCTGCGTGGCATCGTTGTTCCCCACTTTACAGAAACTGCCCATCAAGTTTAGGGAACACTTTGTACAGTGTTAATGGTTATTTTTCAAAGATATTCTTAACAGTGCTTTGTTTTTCGAGCTATTACAACACTCCACTAAAGCTCTCTGATACCCATTGAAAGGCTGTTTTAAAAAGGGGAGTTGGAGATTTATCTAGTTAATGCCTTTGAGCTGACCATGCTATCGTGCATTTAAGCAAAAAAGCATTTAGGAAAGTTGAGTATTTATTCGTGAAAATGTTTTGAGGCATGTATATCACGTAGAAATTCTTATAGACCTATCAAATTAAATCCGAAATCCTTTTTATTTTAACAGATTCCTACCGCTACTTTCAATCCAAGTGTGGATTGTCCTGTAAGTTGGCCAAACCTTGCATTTACGAGTCTGCTTTAGCAAGGGACTTGGCCGTTGAAAACCTGCAAATATGCTATATATTTGCCCCGCCCGTGAAGATAACAAAAACGAGGATTCCCTTTTCGCGACCGGAATTTCCCTGTGATTAATGATATGACTATCCAAATTAGTGTGCAGGTCATAAACACAGTGCTCTTACAGTCTGCAACGTCTGTCTCACCGGCGACAAAACCAATTCCCACTTGTAGAAAAAAACCCATTGTTAAGGATTGATAAAAGCCACCAGTAAGCAGGAACCTTCACTGTTTTTCTATGGACGTGTTTACTCTTTGCAGAGTGAAGGATTCTTCCTTATGGCAAGAGATTAAATTAGACAAACTGGCTAAATAAAGCCTTTATAAAGAATAGATGCCTCTTCCATTTACACTGCCAGCTTCACACTCGGCATTTCAAAGCACCGCCCTCATAATATACCTTTATTTTTTTCTACAGCTTTTTCCTCTAAAGGCATGGGCTCTTCCCTTCCTTCATAATTCTGCTACGCAGCACAGAGTAACTGTGCTCTTTTTTCGCTTTCAGAGTTTGGGTCCACTATCAGCCGCGAACTTTTGTGTGAATGTTCACTTCAAAGCCTTAAATGTTACCGTTTGTATAATTGTGGAAGTGCGAACGCTGCTTAGAGGGGGGAATTGACGCTCGCTAGTCTAACTTATTTGCGCGGGCAAAACAAGTGAAGACGGGTCTCGAGCCGCTTGTACGTATTGACGATGCTTTATCCATGGCAGTGGGAACGACTCTTTGCCGTTTTTGGGTAGAATAATAGTTCCAATGTGCTCAATTAAGTAATGTGGCAAAGTCTGGATTTCACGAGCAAAATTTGAATCGTAAATACAATAAAATGCAACTTTTAATGGGAAATTAAGCGGAGTTAACGTTCTGCATATTCTCATGAAAAAGATTTTAACTAAAAATTTGTAATAATTACCGCTTATGAGCTTCTCATCTAAAGTGGAGAAAGTGATTCAATTTCAATTACATGCCTACCCTATTCAATGAGCATTAGCCAACTGATTTCGCCTGATCAAGTAATAAAAATGTGACGAAGCTTAACGTTTAATCTCCTCCTGTGTATAATCTTCACTTTAAATCCTCATTTGATGAGCGCGATATCGTCACTCTTTACCCTTTACAAATGGGTCTGCTTCAGCTTAAAATATCGTTGAACATTCATTCAGTCCGCAAATGTGTTGCTGTCGGTTTCCTTATTTGGCTCAATTTCTTTTCTTATCTCCCTTGATCGGCCTCTTATTACTCATTTTCTGATTGTGTAAAAAATGCTTCAATCAGGTGGTCATACAGCGGTAATTCTAGCGCGCATAGAACGAAATTTGAAAGATAGGAAGACGTGTTGAATGAATGCAATCTCTCCTCAATTAAAGTTTTCAAGCAATGAACGGCAATTGCGAGGAAGACAAATTGCGGAAGATAAACTGTTGTGTATTTTAAGACCTACACCAACGATCGCCAACTTCTTACTCAAAGCAAAACTTAGTGCATTGTCTTGTTGTACTTTGAATTCTCATTGAATAGATTGAAATATCAGGTGGATCATTTCCAATTATGTCAAGCCTATTTAAACTTGTGCTTATCGAGTGATTACGAAAACAGTCGCTTTTACTAAACCCATGAGAATCGAAATAGTTAGGTTTTTTTCCACCAATCACACATTCATTACAAGTTCGCACCCCTACTATAGAAGTAGTTCAATAACTGTTTGAATGGCATTTGGAAGGTAAGGTAATATCGAAAAGGTCACGTCGATGTCAGTCACAAATCAAGTCTGCAGTTCCTGATTTTATCAATAGTCTGGGTAGTTGTACGCATCACCGTTGCACGTGCCTCGCGATCAGCGGTCAAACGTTAAAGGCTGCACATTTTCATGAAAGTTTTGAGACCTTTTTTTATAAAGCCTCAAATTGGAGGCAAATTGACTTGGCACTTTTTCGGTAAAATTCAAGGCTTACAACGCTTTATTGCCATAAGCTCAAACATCGCCTTTCGGTGAGCGATTCTCGTCATATGGCGTTCATACTAGTGCTCCATGAAGGTGGACGCACAGGCAATCGAAAGGGGATTCAATTAAGGGGGATGAGCGCTGGGCGACTGTGACAGCTTGATTTTCCTCGACCGACCATTTGTGTATTATTTACCCATACAGCGGGTGCCATATGGCGCCTTTCCTAGGCTCTCAGTCCTATCTTACATTAGGCTCAACGCCTTTTCTATGCTCTTGAGCTCAGTATCGTCACTTTTTTTGAGGAAAAACAAATACAACCAGCTGTCGTTTGGTTCAATTGAGTAAACACTTCTACCATCAAGAACGAGACAAAACAACACTTTGCTACCGTCCATTTATTTTTGCCTACCCTTAATCGTCTAAATATGAATCATATGAGATTGAATTTTTACTTCGACGCTATCAACATCTCATGGTGACCTAAACCTCGACATGATCACACAAATTTCATGGTACCATTGTTTAGAACGGCAGAGCCTAGAGATATAGGTCAAAACATCACCAATACTCAAGCTTTATTCACAATGCTTTGTTTTACAAGGAGAGATCCATCACTTTCTGCTGTTCGCTTTAACACCTGTCTGGATGGCTGTAAGACAGAGTTTATCCTTTCGTTTCCCGATGACTTCATTGCAGAAAGCATTGTGCATAGCACTAGGAAAGGTGGTAATTAAAACACAGTTTTATTTATGAGTTTCTTTAGGTACACCCATTTAGTTTTCAAGCAACAAAGGAGGTCAAGCATTATTCGAATTTGTATTTGACAGATTCGGAATTGAATTGAATTTCAGTTGTTGTGCTTCAGAATCTCATCTTAGTAAACGCTTACTTGTTCGGTGTAAATCCTTTATCTCAAGCTCACCTTTATTTTCCTTCTACGATTTCATGACTATATTGGTGTCTACTTAGGCACCAAAGCCGAGGAGTCAAGAAACATTGTGCTACTTGGGACTTTCACGTTTGTTCTGCATTTTATGTTTCCATTCTTACTGTCACCTATTAGTAAACATGACCGAGGACGATATCGATGAATGCTGGCTGTAATACTCCGTCTAAAGAATAATGATAACACTTTCAGCTACCTCAGAATAGATTAAGAGCTGTGAAATTTTGCGTTAGTTACAAGTGTATGCTGAACACCACTAACTCTACAGAATGTTGAATGTCAAATAGCGAATCATATCTTAACGCGTTAGGTGATAGCAGATGACTACTTTGGAGCCAGTTTTATGGAATGCACATATTGACACTCGCACGAATTTCCCGAGACTAAATATCGCCCATATGGATGTTCACCAACTGACAAAGTCGGTGCCAGTCATCCGCCTGCAGTTCAGATTGTGGGCAGAATTGAGTCATGGTGGAGGCTACAATTTCTTCAATTCAGTGCATACGCGTAGCAGGATGGAGGAAACGGTGGAGGCTGTGCAAGTCCTGCGCCCTATCAGCCGGAGCACGTGGGTGTGGGTGCGTGTGTGCATGGGTGAGTGCCGGTCTGAGTGAGGAAAGGGATGGCGTTTAATTTATGAGCTCGCGTGTCGAGAACACCGCACCGCACGCTGGACGCGTCATCACCCCTCCGCGGCAGTCACCCTCACTCTCATCCCCACCATGGAGCACGGGGCGGCGATTTTCCTTCGCCCCGTAAACACGTTCCTCTAAACACACCAAAGCATAGGCAAGCTGATAATACTAGCAAAATTGTAGAAGCACTTTTAAATTAATGATCTTAAAGTCAACCTCTGTAAAGTGGCAGAAATCTTAATCCTAGGGGACCATGGTTCCCTGTCAATGTTTTACTGAAGGATACTTGCACATTCTTTTTTGACGTTGGACCCGCATGTATGAAAAGCGTGGTCATTGTTCAGTGAACCTAGTCAGTATAGTTTAAAGAAGGTGGAGACTAATGACTTAGTCAAATACAAAGTAAGTGCATGACTTTTTGCAGTGGTGATTTGGATAGTTTCCAGTAATCATTCTAAGCTTAATGCACTTTATTTTGTTTAAACGACTTGTGTTTGGAATTATTCTGCATATTTAGGCATTCCAGCAATCTCTCAAGTCAATTTCCACAAGTTATTTGTACCTAGGTTAGTTCTGGTAGTTAAGACAGCGCGGATTCTAGTGTGTTTGAGTAGCGCCTCAAATTACCTTGAGAGGTATTGACGTCTTCAGCATACTGTGTTGTGGGAACTGGGATACAATCAAAAGGGCTCTTTAAGTTTACGCACGAAAGGCGCTAACAAGTCGCCCTGATCACTCTCATGGGCCAGTCTTCTCCATTACATGAATGGTTCCTAAATCGGTGTTGCGTTGTTAAGCTAGTGGGAGTAAGCATTCGCGGCATTTAGAAGTTGCTAAATTCATCGACTGCATGCTACAGGCTTTGCCTCAGACTAATTACAAGATCAAGCACGAGAACAAGTGAGACGAGGCGTAAGCTCCTTTGATTGCTGAATAGTGCAGTAGTAACAACAGCAAAATTATTTTTTCTAGATTTCTGCATAGTAGCGACGCATAAGTGTATTTTAAATCGAAGACGTGGAATTTAAATTTAATCATTTATTTGATTCAATAAGTAAAATTGGGTTATCTCTATGTTTCTTGTGCGTTTACCATTGTGGGTATTTGTAATGAGTTGTGCAATCTACAGTAACTTCAATTTTGCTAATAGCAACTTTTGGACCCTCTTGGTTGCACGAATGTAGAATCGTATAATTTCTAACACTGTGCAAACCGAGGCCGATGCTTCGTCAATCAGTCCGTCAACAGATTGACACTTACCTGACACTGGAGTGAGGCGAGAGGGGAACCGGTAATTAGCATCTTCTGATCTAAGCGCTTGCTAACGTCAAATTGGAAAAATTGACAATAATATCGCCTCAGCATGTCAAACGTGGCAAAGTGACAGTGATTGCAACAGCACCTATTTTCACGAATGAGGCTGACTGAAATGAAATGGTGATAACTGATAGCTTTCAAGTGGTCCTCAAGAAGCTGTAATGCAGCAGGACTAGCAGGCGAACTTAGCCCAAAACTAGTTGTGTTCATTTGGTGCCCACCCTTTCCCCT